TGGAAACTAAATAATAAATCTAATGGCTAATATTTATCGATTACTTACAGTGGGTCAGGCAAAGGGAGAATGCATTGTATGAATGTGGCTCATCCTAGGACAGATGAGAACGTGGATGCTCAGGAAAGCTTAAGTGACCTGTCTAAAGTCACAGGGTGGTGGACCCAGGTCTGGCTAACCATGAGCTTTTAGCTAGCCAAGAAAGGGTTTGATAGCAGTGTCCACCCAGAAAGCCACCTTCCCAGTCCTTAAATAGTCCTTGTGGTTGATGTATCACCCCGAGGCAGGAGGAAAAGATTTCCAGGGGGTTGGCTGCTCTTCTGGGCCACACTGGATTAGCCAGTTCTCATTCCTTTATTCAGCAAACATTTATTAAGAATCACTGTTGGCATCCAACACCGGGAGATGGCCCTGAACAAGTGTAGTTTCTACCCTTATGGAGCTTATAGTTTCATGGGAAAAACTGGTAGACAAGCAGATGAAATACAAGGGTGAGTGCAGGAAAGTTGATGAGGTATTAGTCACTGTCGGAGAGCTGGGGCTTGGAAGAATGTTCCAAGATTAGACAACAGCTGTGTAAGGGCCTGGAGAAGAAAGGCATTGGGAGTGCTGAGGCTTGATCATACTGGGCAACTTGAGGGTAGGCCTGGGTCCTGAGGGCCGTGGGGAGCCATGGAAAGGTTTTGAACAGGAGAGTGGCATAAACATATTTTACAGACTGGTTTGGGAGACCACCCGAAAAGCAAGAGGTTGTACACACACACTCACATGAGACCACTGGAAGTTTGTAGAGGGCCCCCATGTGCTCTGAATTCCCCAAAGTGAATCAGCTTCAGGCTGATCTCAGATTCCTGGGCTCTGTTAAGGACTTAGTGAATAGCCCTCAAAGGAGTTTTTAACAAGTGCTCCAGGTTATTATGATGGGCAGCTAGGCCTGGGAACACTTAGATTGGATGACTGTCTAAAAAATTCCACCAGAAAGGCCCATCTGTCTATTTCCTGTAGACTTGACAAGTAAGGTTTTGGCTTAGTCATTACCTCTCTGAGATTGTTTCTCATCTCTAATGTTGGGTCACGGGTGAGGTTTGAACTAGACAATACCCAGAGCAATCCTATGAAGCAAATATTGTTAATCACCACCATTTTACAGAACAGAAAACTGAAACTTGGAGAGGCTAAACAACTTACCCAAATCACAAAGCTGAGAAGTGGCTGAGTCTGAGTTTAACCCTCTACATAATCAATTTTTTTATGAATCTATGTCTTTTCCCAGAAACTGGGCCAGCTTTCTCGGGACCATGAAGTATATGGGCTTGGACAGGGAGAAACAGGTCAGCATCTGCATCCTTCTATAGATCCTTCTATGATGTCTAAAATACCCCTACATGGGGCTGCTGGGGGTGGGTAGTTTCCTTTGGGTATTGTGGCCTGGGTAGTTGTGCTGGATAAATGGAGGATTAGATCTACTCCCTGTGCTTGAGTTGCCCCCAGTCTGGCCATAGCCAGGCACAAAAAAAAAAAAAGAAAGGTATCATATGAGGGAGACCTGCTCTCCCAGAGGGGCTAAAGAGACTGGGGGAGGGAGCCTCTAGCAGCCAGGGAGTCTGGGAAAACTTTCTGTAAAAGGGACCTTTTGAACTGGGTCTTGCAGGATGAAATAGAGTTTTAAGTTTCTGAAAGACCTTTTGGCCAACAGAATGGAAAAGTACTGCAAGGGAAAATGGAAGGAAGGGAGACCATTGAGGGAGTTGCTAAGGTGGTCCAGGTAAGAAATAATGATGACTGCCCCTCTGGTGAGGCTTAGTGGTTAAGCATTGACCCACGCACCAAGAGGTCGCCGGTTCAATTCCCAGTCAGGGCACATGCCTAGCTTGTGGGCCCGATCCCTAGTGGAGGGCATACAGGAGGCGGCCAATCAATGTTCTCTCTCATCGATGTTTCTATCTCTCCCTCTCCCTTCCTCTCTCTCTAAAAATCAATAAAGAAAAATATATTAAAAAAAAAAGAATGATGATTAATTTGAGAGACATTCAGGAGGCATAGGTGCTATGCATAAATTGGATCTTGGGAATAACACAAAGATGAAGAGACCTTGAAGATGTCACTCAGGCTTTTGGCTTAGTGAATAAGTAATGCCATAAATGGACATAGGATATTACAAAAGGAGAAATAAATCTGGAGTATACTGAACATACCAGTGACCACTCACTGATCACTTATGAGATGCTGAGTACTATGCCAAGCACTTTATACAGATTAGGTGATTTAGTAACCAGAACAACCCCAGGGGGTGGATACTATTATTGTCCATTTAAAAACATAGCTTTTCTGCCCTGGCCAGTTTTGCTCAGTAGTTAGAGTGTCGGCCTGCGGTCCAGAGAGGCCTGGGTTCGGTTCCTGCTAAGGGCACGTACCTTGGTTGCAGTTTGTCCCCAGCCCTGGTTGGTCATGTGGGTGGCAGCCACTCAGTGTGTCCCTTTCACGTCCATGTTTCTCTCTCTCTCTCTCTCTCTCTCTCTCTCTCTCTTTCTCTTTCTCTTTCTCTTTCTCCCCTATTTTATCTGAACAAAAAATGGAAAAATGTCCTCAGGTGAGGATAAAAAACAAAAACAAACAAAAAACACGGTTTGGCTCAGCGGCTGGAGAGTCGGCCTGTGGACCAGACAGTCCTGGGTTCGGTTCCCTCTAGGGGCATGTATCAAAAAAACAAAAAACATAGTTTTTCTGCCCTGGCCCGTTTTACTCAGTGGTTAGAGCATCGGCCCGCAGACCAAAGAGTCACAGGTTTGATTCTGGTCAAGGGCATGTACCTCAGTTGCGGTTCATCCCCGGCCCTCGTCGGGGTTGTGCGGGAAGCAACCAGTCCATGTGTCGCTCTCACATTGATGTTTTTTTTCTCTCTCTCCCTCCCTCCCACTCTATCTGAGATAAATGGAAAAATATCCTCAGGTGAGGATTAAAAAAATAAATAAATCGCCCGGTCAGTGTGGCTCAGTGGTTGAGTGTCGACCCATGCACTGAGGTTGCTGGTTCAATTCCCAGTCAGGGCACATGCCCAAGTTGTGGGCCAAATCCCCAGTGGAGGACATGCAGGAGATGGCCAATCAATGTTCCCTCTCATCGATGTTTCTATCCCTCTCACCCTCTCCCTTCCTCTCTCTAAAAAAATCAATAAAGAAAAAAAACCAAAACAAAACATAGCTTTTCTGAGATTAGCAGGCAGCAGAGGCAGGATTTGAACGCACATCTATCTGATTCCTGTCTTGAGCCCCACTCAGTTCTGCCTGATACAACTGCTAGCCATCACTTGGGAGTGAGCTCAAGGACAGGTTCCTCTGGAGAGCCTTCCCTAATTCTTCCTGGGGCTCCTCCTCTGTTGACATTTTGTAGACCAGTCTGCTTCTCCAAGAGTAAGAGAACTGAGCACAGGGGTGGTCCCAGTCATTTTTTTGGATCACTGATACCTAGCACATGTTAATTGGCTGACTGAATGCTGGTTATTCTATGTAATTCTGTCCTCTTCTCCTGTCTACCTATTCAATTAGAGAACAAGTTCTGCTAATGACAGTTTCCTGCATATTTCTTTATACTATTCCTTTCTTTCCATCTCCACTGCTAGAACTTAGCATTGAGCTCTTTGAGATTATAGAGGAAGGGTAATAATGTAGTCCGGGAAGCTTCTATAGTGGTATTCCTAAAGTTTGAAAAATGAGCCACAGATACTTCGTAAAGAAAATGGAAAGGGCCAGTTAGTGTGGCTCACTGGTTGAGCGTTGACCCATGCATCAAGAAGTTGCTGGTTCGATTCCTGGTCAAGGCATATGCCCAGGTTGTGGGCCAAATCCCCAGTGAAGGACATGCATGAGGCAGCCAATCGATGTTTCTATCCCTCTCTTCCTCTCTCTCTCTCTCTCTCTCAAATCATTTTTTTTTTTTTTTTTTTTTACAGAAGAAAGATGGAAAGGGCACTCCAGATAGATGAAAAGCATAATTAAAGGCACAGAAGTGTAAAACAATTTGGTCTGCATGAAGAAATAGGAGGGATTTAGCATGTGTCACTAACGATAAATAAATATGCCTGGATGAGACTAGTGGAATGAGAGTGGAGAGGCAGGGCTAGGTGGGAGCATTATGAGCTTGAGCTTTGGTATTTTTTTCTATACGTAATAAAACAGGTATCTGTACAGGGAGCGGTGAGGACAAGGGGGGAAGGGGGGAGTGAATACTTGAAGGGTCAGCTAAAACTTAGGTTTTACTATATTTCTATTGTTTGTAGACTAACAATAGTACCATTTATTTCTCTGCTTGCTAAGTGCCTGGTAAAGCACTTTACTTACATTATCTTATCTAATCATCACAATATCCTGTGGAATAGGTGTTGCTACCTTTACATATAAGAGGGAAAGGAAACAAGACAGATTAATACTGCTCCCAAGGTCACAGTTATAAAGCTAGCCCGGATTATAGATTATAATCTGCTAAAGAGAGCTTTTGAGGTCAGTGATCGTGTGCGCGCGCGCGCCCAGACCTAGGTCTTAGAAGACGCGTAGTAAAGAGCAGCTGAATAAATGAATGACCTTTTACTTTCTCCACCCGAAAAGCACGTGGTTACGGCACCGGTAAACCTCCTAACCTCCAGGGGGCGGGTGTCCATCTCAGCGCAGCGGAGATCCGCTGTGGACGCCTAGCTTGCTCCGGTCCTTTGACTGGAGCTCAGCCAATCCCTGCGCTCCGAGAGAGCGGGCGTTCGGTGGGCGGGGTCCCGGGCGAGGCCCCCGCGGGCCGCCGGGAGGGGCGGCATCGGCGTTCCCGGCGAGCGGGCGGAGGGCGGGGCGGACGGAGGAGTGCGCGCTGCGGCTCAGGTGAGCACGCGGTCCCCGCCGACCGTTCTCGTCCCCGGGCGGCCGCCGGGGCCGCCCGCTGTCTTGGCGACAACTCCTGGTTTTGACCTCTGAGTGACAGGAGGGGTGATTACGAGTGTCCGCTCTGGCCCTGGCGGGGCCTGACGGCTCTCACTCTTCCTGGGGTTCGGAGGTCGAGTCTGGGCGCCCATCTCGTCCTCTGCGGCCAGGGCTTCTCGGCCTCAGGCACGTGGGTGAGGACGGACGCCGCTGACAAGGCCGTGAGCCTGGTGGGATGGGGACAGGAGGCTGGGAACCCAGCGGAGGGAGACGGGTAGATACTAGGACCCAGACCTCACTTGCGCTCCGGTCTCTGGACCGGGCTGGAGTGACGGTCAGGGTTCATCTAACACGCTCGTAGGTCTCCTCTGCCCTTGCTGGCAATTCTCAAATCTCGGACTGCCGATTTGGGTCTCGTGGGCCTCCGGGATCCCGGCACAAGGGCAGGTTTGCCGGCAACCCAGTTGACCTTTACCTGACGTTCATGCTCCCTCCTGGCTGGGCTGGAAATAACGCGTCACAGTGCATGCGAGACACTTTTGCCTCTTTCATATTGCTACCCCGGGGATGACTTGTTGGAGCCTCTAGCTTGTCATCAGCAAAAACACCTGCTGTGTTCCTGCTACCTTTGGAAGGCGGGTGGGTGGATGACTGCTGTGGTTTAGCATTAGTGTGTTGCTTGAGCTTTCATTCATTCGTCCAGCAAACTTTCTGGAGCATTTTATGCCAGGCCTGGCCAGGTGGGAGGGGTCGGGGGATGGATAGGGCACAGTGGGCCACAGACATCACCCTTGTCTACTTGGAGCTGAAAGGGTTTTGAGGAAAGCAGACAAGTGGGGTAGGCCAACACTGTGTGTGACAGAGGAAACGGTGTATGTGTTAATAATTGAATTAATCGACTCATTTGAAAGTGATTAGAATGTGAGTAGGAGGACAGAGAGACCTTGTGCTGAATGTGACAGGTGATAGTTGTGGACTCATGAGACAGGCTAGTAAGCCAGGACAAATGAAACAGGGAAACTGAGATAGATAGTTAAATAAGCAGTTTACAGCCGTCTAGAAAATCTAGATGCCAGGCAGTTTGCAGCCATGTAGTAAATCCTATCTTCCTTAAACCAAGGACACTTGAGAGTAAATGGTTTGCACTTTTTCCCAACTAGAGGGTAAGTAGCTTAAATCACCCTACTCAAGGAGACAGCAGAAATCCAATTAGTGCCATTTGCCAACCACAATCAAGGACAGATGAAGTTAAGAGAATAAACCTTATTTTGGTACATCAGCAGAAAGCTGATGAATGTTCTGTTGAGATCTTCCCCTAAGACCTCTCCTAAATGCTCAGCCTTAAAAACCCCTCAAAACCAAGGTCCAGCAAGTGCTCTCCTCTCCTTCCCAGGAGCACACCCGAACCCACAGGCATGCATCTCCTAAACTCTAAGGGATCCCCACGAGGCTTGCAATCAGGGCAACAATAGGAAGCAGCAGTTTGTCTCGGACAAACCCCCTGAACCTGTCCTCAAGGCCCCCCTTTCTCTGACTTCTTAGTGAGCCAAAGCAGACCAGCCTATGCTCATTTCCCAGCCCTTGTTTCACTGTCCCCAGCTTTAGTAAATGTCCCCTGCAATTCACCTGGACTCGTGTTGTGAAACTTTTCCTGCATGAAGTCAAGAACCCACACACTACCAGCTGGCCCTTGAAAGACCCATTCAGGCCCAGTGTTTTTAGAAAAATTGGAAATCTGAATGGAGAATTGCTGTTTAGGGAAAGTGTTTGCTATATAAAGAGAGAACTTGATTAAAAGGTAGGAAAGAAGATGGGGAAGTATTAGATTTGAGTTTCTTCAGGGGCTATCTCTGTTAAAAACTTCTGAATCTTCTAATTTCACAAATCTGAGTATAATCATAGAGTTTGGGGAAAAAAAGTGGGGGAGCTCTTCTAGGTGGTGAAATGCCAAGGTGATAGGGAAAAATGTCATTGACGCTCTCCCCAAATTCAGGATTTATACAGAAACCATACACCCCTCTTTCCATCAGAAAGAACACAGGATTTGGAATTGGAAGGCCTGGGTTCAAAATCAGCGGCTGTGTCATTTTTGGTGATTTGGGGGCACATTAATGTCCCAGAGCCTTTGTGGCCTTAGACAGAAATCTGGGCAGATAATTCCTACCACATAGAGGTGTTGTGAGGATCATATGGTGATTAGTGTGTGAACTGTCCAGTTGAGTGCTTGGTGTGAAGACAGAGGACCTGGAGGGGAATCTTGGAGCTGCTGCAGTTTATTCTCTGGTGATGGCCCATTATAGTTTTAGGTCCACAGAATGCTGGGATTTCTCCAAAGAGAATTGGACCCAAAAAAGAGAAAGGGAGAGAGTCTTTTTAGCCTTAGTGAGGTTTTGATTTTTCACTTTATTAGCTTATTTTTAGATAGAGTAGAAGGGAGAGGGGAAAGGAGAGAGGGAGAGAGAGAGAGAGAGAGAGAGAGAGAGAGAGAGAGAGAAAGAGAGACACATCAATTGATTGAGCCTGCAACCCTTGACAAGGAATTGAACCTGAGACCATTTGGTCCGAGGGCCGATGCTCTAACCACTGAGCAAAACCAGCCAGGGCTTCTTTCTCATTCTTGAAAGGTTGGCAAACTCTGGTGGGAAGGCCTATGGTCAAGGATAGGCTTGAAGCTTTAGTAGGTAAGGCCCAGAAGTCCCCTCATGAGGAACTCTGCCATATATGGTTGCATAATTGTCAAAAAGTATAGTACATAAAATGGAGAGTCTTTTCCTCTTCCCTAACAATTGAATCTTTAGAAATTTTCTAGATTGTTTCAGGGACCCAACTGTTGCATAGAGCAAGGTACCCTCTTGCATCACTCTGCATGGAGTAGATGCTCAGTAGATTGTGTCAGGCTGCCTGGTAAGTGGGGAGACCTGGTGGGTGGTCTCTTTGGTGGGGAGGGGGAGCTGGTGTCTCCCTAAAGCTGCCTTGTGCTTTTCTCCAGATGTCATGTGGCCTGTGCTTTGGACCGTGGTGCGTACTTATGCTCCCTATGTCACGTTTCCCGTGGCCTTCGTGGTCGGGGCTGTGGGCTACCACCTGGAATGGTTCATCAGAGGAAAGGATCCCCAGCCTGTGGAGGAAGAGAAGAGCATCTCAGAGCGTCGGGAGGACCGAAAGCTGGATGAGCTGCTAGGCAAGGACCACACCCAGGTGGTGAGCCTTAAGGACAAGCTGGAATTTGCCCCTAAAGCTGTCCTGAACAGAAACCGCCCGGAGAAGAATTAATAGCTAGAGGACACAAGGCCATATGGGTCCTTCTGTAGGCTGTGATGTCCTGCCATCATGTTGACCCAGCTCCAGAACCCACATCTGATTTGCACTGTTGTTTATTCTGGCCCCTTTGGCACCACCCAGCCACACATATACTGGGTGCTCTTCTGCAGTCAGGCAGACAGACACTAGCAGCTGAGGGGCCAGTGAAGAGGAAGGCCCTGGAGGGTTCTGGCCTGCACGCTGCATCTGTTGTATGGTGGTCACAACTGCCCAGGCTTCTGGGCACACTGCTGGAAGTAGTGTTATGAAATGAACGTCGGCTCAGTCTCTGCAGGGAGGCAGTTTGGTCTCAAGCCAAAGTGCATGCGATTGGGGTATTGCCTTAAGAGAGATACCACATACCGAGTTCCCATTTGCATGGGAAGAATTCAGAAATCTACCTGGTTCCCTTGCTCGTTTGCTCTGCCCTTTGTGCTTACTCTTCCTGAAATCCTGCCTGTCCTCCCAGCTCAGGAAGTGGGTAATCCCTGGGGAAGGAGAGCATTTTTTTCTGTTCTTGGTAGCCCAGGCTGTTTGCCTCGGGGCAGGTGAATTTGCTCGAAAATAATCACCATCGTTCACCTCCCAGCCCCCCATCACTGTATAGTGCAAAACTTTATTAAAGTGGCATCTGAGAACCATATTGATCTAATTCTATCTTCCAGATGGTGTTTGGGGTCTCCTTAGGAGGTAGGCAAGTGCAGGCATTCACTTGGGTAGGATAACATTTGGCCTTCAACTAGGGACTCCAGGGTCCTGGATGCTTTGTTTTACTAGTGTGGTTGCCTTGGGCCCTGGGCGTGGTGAGTCCTGGAGGCCTAGGTTCCCAGAAGCTTTTCTGTCATGAGAATAAGGCTCTTGGACCTTTCAGAATCTAAATTAGAGTAGACCAAGGAGCTTAACAGTTGCTATCAAATTTTCCAATTTCACACACACTCTTTCCCCTATAAAAGTAATATATGTAATATATGTACTCAAAAGAACATTTGGCAGGGATTTTTTTTTTTAAAGGTCTCTAGTACAACTAAAAGGCTAACATTTTATGTTTTTAACAATGTCCCTATTGCTGGAGGACATTTGGGTTGTTTTTGGTTGTTCACTAGTATAAATAGTGCAATGAATATATTGTATAAGGCTTTTCCTGCATTTTGGATTAAATGGCAGGAATAGTAAATGACATTTTGGATGAAATGGGATAAACAGTTTTGAGGGTCTTGCCACCATATCAAATGTCTTTTCTAAAGGGCTATAGATGTTTACACTAAAAGCTGCCACTTAAGATGCTGCTGGGCTCTGGCTGGTGTGGCTCAGTGGGTTAGAGTGTTGTCCTGTTACACCCAAAGGTCTCGGGTTTGACTCCTGGTTAAGGCACATACACAGGTTGCATGTTCGATCCCTGGTTGGGGTTTGTATAGGAGGCAGCTGGTTGATGTTTTTCTCCTCCTTTCTTTCTAAAATCAATAAAAATATATCCTCAGGCAAGAATTTAAAAAAAAGGCTGCCAGTGAGGTTGGAAGGGGAGTGAGAGCAAAGGGCGGGAAGAGGTAGAAGACACCTATTACCTCATGAAGCCACCTGACATCTACCCGAAGTGAGCAAAGGCAAGTAATGCACATTCAATGAATGAACTGCCTTTAAAAAGGGGAAGGGTGGCCCGGCTGGTGTGGCTCAGTGGATTGAGCGTCATCCCATGGACTGAGAGGTCCTGGATCGTTTTCCAGGCCAGGGCACATGCCGGGGTTGTAGGCTCGAACATCAGTGGGGGGCGTGCAGGAAGCAACTGAATGTTTCAAGCTCTCTCTCCCTTCCTCTCTTAAAAAATCAATAAAAACATTTTAAAAAATAAAAATTAAATGGGTAAGGGTGTTTGCTTCATATGAGGATCTGAGGCCTGATGGTGTTAACAGGTGATGAAGGTAGAATTCCTGAGCAGGTAGATCTCTACCGGCTGCGGAGTGAGGGGAGCTGGGAGGATGTGGAAGATGTGGCCAGAGAGGAGGAGGGGAAGCGTCAAATTGTCCAGCCCTAGAAGGAATGTTGCTTCTCAGGGAACAAATCTGATGGGGAGTATGGACAAGGAGTGTCTGCTATGGACAAGTAAGAATGAGGTTTCTGGTTCTGAAAGGATATACCCAAGTCAGCTTGGTTACAGGCCTCATTGACAGACCAGTGCTGCCCCCCTCTGGCAGTCCTGAGCATGGCCAAGCCTGGGATTCCTTCACTGGGCTTAACTAGGAGTAACAAACCAGGGTGCCTACAGGGGTCAGTCAGGTGGCGCAAACGATTGTGCCAGGGCAGGAACTGGAAAGCACAGGCCTGCCTAAAGGGGGCGGTCGCTACTCAGCATCTTCCAGTCTGCTGCTTGCCCAGATTTTTCAGATTTTCTTAAAGATGCTAGAGATTCAAATTTTTGTGCATATGTAATCTTCTGATTTTTAAATGTTGATAATCCATTTATATTTTTACTATTTTTTAATTCTCACCTGAGGATATTTTTCTATTGATTTTTTTTTAATAGAATGGGAGGGAGATAGAGAGAAACTTGAATGCGAGAGAGACACATCGATTGGTTGCCTGTCACATGTGCCCTGACTAAGGCTGGGGATCAAACCTGAAACCCAGGTACATGCCCTTGACCGGGAATTGAACCCATGAACCTTTGGTCCGCTGACACTCTTAAGTCCTGATCCAAATCAGCCAGGGGACAATTCATTTTTTAAAAATGTTCTAAGTGCTCAGCTGGTGTGGCCCAGTGGATTGAGTGTCATCCCATGGACTGAGAGGTCATGGTTCAATTCCCAACCAGGGCACATGCCTGGGTTGCAAGCTCCATCCCCAGTGAGGGATGTGCAGGAGGCAGCTGATCGAGGTCTCTCTCACACCGATGTTTCTATCTCTCCTCTCTAAAAAAAAAAAATCAATATAAACATTTAAAAAATAAAAGTTCGCCCTGGCTGGTTTGGCTCAGCGGTTAGAGTGTCGGCCTGTGGACCAGAGAGTCCCGGGTTCGGTTCCCGCTAAGGGCGCACGTACATTGGTTGCAGTTTGTCCCTGGCCCCAGTTGGGTTGTGTGGGTGGTGGCCAGTTGATGTATCTCTCTCACATCGATGTTTCTCTCTCTCTCTTCCTCCGTCTCTCCTTCCCACTCTATCTGAAGGTAAATGCAAAAATGTCCTCGAGTGAGGATAAAAATAAAAAATAAATAAAATAAAAATAAAAACATTCTAAGCATGTTAGCATACCCATGGGGTTAATTTGACCTAATGGTTGCCAATTTGCGACCTTGCAAACTGCCCCTCTCCTTTTAATTAATTGCCCCCTATGGCAGTCCTGAGTATAATTAATAATAATTATTTCAGCACCTAACAATTTGTGGTAAGTGTTAGATCCCAGGAGTGGTTTCCCTTGAAGCAGTTTTGAGCATCCTGCACATACGTGGTGTACTGTCAGCCTAAGCAAAACATTAGCAGACAGAAAAGCGACAGAAACAGCACCCAAAATGTTTTCCCATAGACTAAGACATTTTTGGATTTTTCAGATATTCTAGAATAGCCCTGTCACTGCCGGTGTCCCTCCTCCCAGTGCCTGGCTGCGGAAGCCCTCCCTTTGGAAATCCAAGTTGCTCCCTTCTTCCAGGCTCACTTTAATTGTGCCCCTTTTTAAACAATTTTATTTCCTAGGGCTGGCCCTCACTGAATTTCTGCCTCCGGCAAGTCTATTAATATTCTCAGCTCCCTTTCCCACGGGGAGGCTGCGATCTGTGGCCGCTGGGCTGCTGTAAGCACGGGCATGCTGGGTGACGTTCAGCAGCAGGATGGATGTGGATGGGAGCAAAGGCAGGCCGGGGTTGCTGGCATGAACCAGGGCACACACTGGTTTTCTTCCATGCTGGCTGATTCACTTTGGAGACATGTGGCCCTCCCTCGGACTGACTCAACAGTCGTATCACTGAAACACTTTAGTAAGTGATGTGCTTGGGGCTTCTTACTTGCCCCGCCGTGGGTCTCTCTCCAGCCCAGTGACGGTGGTGGCTTTAGAACAGGGTTATCCTGCCTGAGCGCAGGAATCCCTTCTCTCCCTTCAGCAGTCCAGAGTCTGGTGCTTTTCCACTCTCTGGAGCCTTTCCTGTGCCCGCTGCTGGGTTAGCACAAGTCTGCTGGGCAGCTGCCAGGGCAAGCCTGCCAGGGAGCCCTTTGACTCTTGTGAGCTTCCCAGGGCCCCGGCTGGTGGGGCTGTTGGTAGAGTGAAACACCCTGGGATTAGGCTCCCCTGAGTCAGGCAAGGACAATGAAAAGGCTCACTTTTCCTTTTCCACTTTGATGTGGGTTTCTAAGCACTTGTAGGATAGTGAGCCAGGACAGTGTGGTAGAATAAAAACAAAGTGGGATCTAGAATCTGACAGACGTGCATAGTGAATACTGCCTCAACAATTAGCTGATTGACCTTGGGCAAGTCACTTAGCCTTTCTGGACCTCAGTATCCTCATCTGTAAAATGGGGATAAGAATACCTATTTTTGCTAGGTGGTTGTGAGGAGAAGTTAACATGTAAAGTTCTGGCAGAGTCCATGGCAACCAGTAAGTGCTCCATAAACATTAGCTGCTGTAATTTTTTTGCAAGAAAAGCCTACATTTTCTGCAATAGTTGCATGTGTCCTTGTGATCCTGGTGAGGCAGGAATCCGGAGGCGAGAGTGGCCTTGGCTGGAAGGGTGGTCAAAGGGACCCTCACACCTCACAGGCCTGGTGGTTGAGGGCTTCGTAGGGGTATTTTATAGAAAGGACTTCACATAAGAACCAAGCTGGCTCATGGATGGCAAGCTCCAGTCCTGTGCTGCTAAGGAGTAATGCCATTTGCAAGGTCAGGGAGGAGAAGTGGGGAGGAAGGTGTTGCAGGATACACAAGAGAGGGTCACATAGAGGACAGCCTTGGACTGGGATGTAAGAGAACTAGGTGACCTGAGACATGTGCCTTCACCTCCCCTAGCCTTGGTGTCCCTACTACAAAATGGGACACGTGCTCCCTGCTGATAATGTAAAAAGCAAGAAACCAGTTTAGAAAGTAAAACACTCAAGTGCTATGTTATACCCCAGTAAAACCTGCTTGTATCAGTTTGGGATGGCGGCCAGTCTGAATAAAGAAATAGAAATAAACGCTCTTTTATTCCTTTTCTGTACACAGTCTCTCAAAGTATTTGCTAAATAGGAGCCTTTGGGGAATCAGCTTTAAGAGTAAAGAGTAATTAGCAATTAGTCTATCAGTCCCAGTGGTGCCTCTGATGTACTTAAAAAGTTCATTCTCTTTGAATTAAACTTGCTAAGGTTAGTTATCTGTTTATCACATTCTTTTAACATAATGCAAAGGTTAACCCTGGCTTTGTTTTCATTTAAAAATTCCAAATGGGTCCTCCAAATATTTGCAATTTTGCAAGATCTTTACTAGCGTCCCAGCAGGGGCAGCCCTTCCATCTAGAAGGGTCCATAGTCCTTCGTGCCCCTCTCCACTCTTGCTGTTCCCTCACTGCCAACCCTGGCTCCACTGTCCATTTCTATTTGCTTCAGGCCAGAGCTGCCAAGCACAGCTGGACATATTTGCATAACCCTCTTGCCTAGCACTCTCTATTTATGGCTTCTGCGTGCCATCCTTAAGATGTATATATTTTATGTATATATTTTAATCCGAGCTCCTCAGGTTCCCCACCCCATCCCTGGACTCCTCCTCACTCTTTGCTGCTTGCTCCCCTCCACCACCACTATGGAGGCGAAGTCATTGTGGATACAAGCCTTGGCAGTTTCAAGTCTCATAACCTCATCTTGGCCTTAGTTGTATGGTGGCTCTTTGCAGTATTCAGCACCTTGATGGAGTTCTCGCGGCATCGGCACCACCTGTGCCCTGAGCCAGCTGTCCCCACCCTTCTAAATGTCAGTGTCCTCCCAGCTTGGTCCTTGGCTTTTTCTTGCTGGACAGTTTTAGCCTCATCCCGTGGCTTCAGCCACT